AAGGTTTCTTCATTGGAAAATGTCTTCATGTAAGCAACTATTTTCTAGTAACACATTACATGGTCAAAGACCAGGTAAGAACAAATACAGGTAGATCAAAAGGAGAAAGAACTGACAAAGACAGGAAGAGATAGGAAGGAACTTAAGCATATTATCTGTTTAGGTAGGTGAGGCATTAAGTCAAAAGGGGATGACCTTTTGACTGCTTCACGGGGACAAAGGGTATCAAAAGATTATGAGGTTTGTGGGGGGGGGGGGAAGCACGGCAGTTTGCTGCGCGTGCATTTTTCCCCACAATCACACAGTCAGCTTTCACAGTCAGCTAGAACTCACCGTCTCTTGGTGGTTATCCCAGAGTCACCCAGCTGGCTTCCATGCCTAAGGCAGGATTAAAACTTCCAGTGTCCTAGTGATTGGCTCAAAGTCACTCAGCTGGCTTTTGTGTGTAAGGCAGGTCTAAAACTCTCCATCTCCTGGTTTTATGCTGCAGTGCTAGATCACCACGATGTAAAAAAGATGTTGAGACTTTAGAAAGAGTACAGAGAAGAGCAACAAAGATGATTAGGGGACTGGAGGCTAAAACATATAAGGAACGGTTGCTAGAATTGGGTATGTCTAGTTTAACGAAGAGAAGGACAAGGGGGGACATGATAGCAGTGTTCCAATATCTCAGGGGCTGCCCAAAGAAGAGGGAGCCAAGCTATTTTCCAAAGCACCTGAGGGCAGGACAAGAAGTAACAGGTGGAAACTAATCAAGGAGAGAAGCAACCTAGAACTAAGGAGAAACTTCCTGACAGTGAGAACAATTAATCAGTGGAACAACCTGCCTCCAGAAGCAGTAAATGCTCCAACACTGGAGGTTTTTAAGAAGAGACTGGACAGCCATTTGTCCGAAATGGTGTAGGGTTTCCTGCCCGAGCAGGGGGTTGGACTAGATGACCTCCAAGGTCCCTTCCAACTTTACTATTATTATTATTATTATTATGGCTCCTAGATGCCCTAACATTTTCTCTGTATAAATACTGTATGCTGAATGGATCCCTTGAATCCAATCGGTTGGTCGGTAGAAGAAGCACTCAGTCCCAAACAGAATTTCTAACTCTCACTATTATTGCAAGATTCCATTATCTGACCACTGCCTCGTTTGTGGCTCTTCCTCCTGCCTCCCAAAGTCTTCCTCACATACAGGTACTCCTTGACTTTATGACCACAACTGAGTCCAAAATTTCTCTTGCTAAGTTAGACAGTGGTTAAGTGAATTTTGCTCGGTTTTAACGAATCTTTCTTGCCACAGCTGTTAAATGAATCCCTGCAGTTGTTAAGTTAGTCACAAGGTGGTTAAGTGAATCTGGCTTCCCCTTTGGCTTTGCTTGTTAGAAAGTCACAAAAGGGGACCGCGTGACCCCGGGATATGCAGCTGTCGTAAATATGAATCAGTTGCCAAGTTTCTGAATTTTGATGACGTGATCATGGGGATGTTGCAAAGTTTGTAAGTGTGAAAAATGGTTGTAAACAATGCTTTTTTGGGGGAAAAAAAGGTGCCAGAACTCACATACGTCATACAGCCCGCCTTGCCTACCCTACAAGATTCCACCCAAAAAAGGTGTCGGAACTCCGTTCTGGGCGTTCTATGACAAAAAAAGCCTTGGTTATAAGCCACTTTTTTTCAGTGCTGCTGCAACTTTGAACTGTCACTAAACAAACAGTTGTAAGTCAAGGAATACTTGAACTGTTATATCAGTGCAAAGACTTCCTAGCATAATGTTCACTTCCAGAGAAACCCTTTCTACAGAATTGGCTGTCCTGCCGAACCATAATAGTCCTGAAATTCAGTCAGACTGATTTGTTTTCTTCCAGGTATCCCTGAAGGCATGAAAGATCTCCCGTATGGAACCGCTTTGCCCTTGGAATCCAACCTGGTTTATCTGAATGGTGTAAGCTTCACGAAAGGCTGTTATATTGGTCAGGAATTGACGGCCAGGACTCACCACATGGGCGTCATCCGGAAACGGCTCCTGCCCATACAGCTCTTGCCGCTGATGCCTTTTGAGAGCCTCACTGAAGGTACTGAAATTGTGACCGAATCGGGGAAGTCGGCTGGAAAATTCCGTGCGGGTGAGAACGAATTTGGAATTGCCTTGCTGCGTTTGGCGACCACAAAGGGCCCACTGCGGCTCAAACTTCCCGACGATTCGCAAGTGACGGTCACAGCATCCATTCCTAAATGGTGGCCCCAACCTGCCAATAAATAGTGTGATCTTCTGCTGAATATGACTCGCTCTGAAGTTTATTGTCTTTGGATGCTTCTTTTCACAATTCTGAAAGTTAGTGGCTTTGAAAGGAAGAATCCTTCATGATTGTGCCTAGTTTGACATTGATGGAAAACTTTGAAATTTTAGGCCCTTATTATTTATTCTCTGACAGTCATATTATTGTAGCTTTATTTGATTCTTCCTCTCATCCTCCCTTATCTTCCTTCCAGAGAAACAAAACCTAACAATCAAAGGAAAGAATTAAACTCGTGTAAGTTTTCCCCGAGTTGGCTGATTCTAGATTTATTATCTTAAGTCTCTATTTGTTGATATTGTTTGCTATAACTATCAATGTGGTTCTTCCCATGAGATTCCTTGACACTTTAAACCAGAATTTCTCCAAATTGACAACTCTAAGTGATACGGACTTCAACTCCCAGAATTCCCCAGCCACCACAGGGAATTCTGGGAATTGAAGTCCACACCTCTTAAAGTTGCCAAGTTGAAAAAACAACTTGGATTCTTCATTTCCATCGCATTTTTTTTGATCAGGAAAATATTACGACCATTTATTTAGTGACCATTCAAAGTTGCAAGGGCATTGAAAAAAGTGACTTATGACAGGTCCTCATACTTACAACCATTGCAGCATCCCCATAGTCATATGAGCAAAATCCAGGTGCGTTATTCACAACCATCGCCGTGTGCTGGGATCACTTGATTGCCGTTTGCAAACTGCAAAAATGGTAAAGAATTTTAAACCTCACGGAAAATAGTACTGTATAGGCACTATTCTTTTGAATTTGGGTTCATATTAACTATGACTTAATCATCCAAAATCATTATTTTTCCCACTATCCTGTCCTGCCTTTTGCCAGATTGGAGAGGGAAGGGAGAAATGACACAGCTAAATACAGGCAGTCCTTGACTTAAGACCACTTATTGCAACCAAAATTTTGTTTCCAAAGCAAGGCAGTCGTTAACTGAGTTGCGCACCATGCTTTGCCACAGTTGTTAAGCAAAATGCTGCACTTTTTAAGTGAATTGTGAGGTTGTTAAGCGAAAATCCTCTCTCCATATAACTGGTCCCTGGTGCCCAAAAGGTTGGGGACCTCTGTACTGGGGTATAAGTTGGAATTAGTTGTTTGGCAGAGTGATGGCATGGAGGGGGGGAGATATCCTTGTGTCTGATTGTTCTAGCATACAATGCCCTATAACAGTGATGGTGAACCTTTTAGGGACTGAGTGCCCAAACTGCAACCCAAAACCCACTTATGTATTGTCGGGTGCCTGGTCGGCATGGCCCACTGTGGGTGTGGCCAATTTTGTGGGTGTGGCCCATTGAGTGGGCATGGCTGCAGTGGTAACGGCTGTCTGGATGGGACTAAAAAATTCAATCAATCAATTCCAACTTTGCGAGATCTTATTTTTCCCATGAGAAGTTGAAATTGATTGAACCTTTTTTTTGTTTTGCACACGGCAGCGGAGGCCTAAAAGCAAAAAGGTTTTATAAAACCCAGCTGAAGGCCTAGGACTGGGGTGACGGCGCACGTGCCCACAGAGAGGGTTCTGAGTGCCACCCGTGGCACCTGTGCCATAGGTTGGCCACCACGGCCCTATAACGTTTTGAGAGAAGTAGTTGAAACAGTTTATGTCCACGATTTGAGAGGTCTGAAGCTAGTTTCACAGCCCTCTTTCTGGCTTGTGCAGTATATAGGTCCTCCAAGGAAGGAAAGCTGGTTGCGATTGTTTTTTCTGCAATCCTAACTATTTGTTGAAGTCTGTGTCTGCCTTATTTGGTTGCTGTTCCAAACCAGACAATTATGGAGGTACAAATGACAAACTAATATATATATATATCCACTCCGCCCTCCAAATTCAAGGCAGAATCCATTGAAACATATCTGGAATATTAAAAGTTGGTAAAGTTATGCAGCAATAGAAGGCCCTGGGTTTTTAAGTCTGGAGAGTTCTACCTTTGCAGATTTTCAAGAAAAGAATGCATAACCTTTCCTGACCTGGGCAGACAGTTGGACTAGATGACCTCTAAGATCCCTTCCCACTCTAGGACTGGCTCACCCCACTAAAAGGTGCAGTAAAGGGCTAAAAAATGTTGTTTCCTGCGTGAACAATGGTTGTCTGGATCCCCGTTAAGGCAAGCTAGATTTTTCAGGCTGATGCAGGTTGCCCTCCTGCTTTAGCTACTCGCCAGCTTGGGGATGGCAGAACTCCCTTGAAAACGGTGAGAAAACGAGTGAGGGGGGGAAATCCACGCCTAGGCAGTTTTACACGACTGCCCTGACACGTGTTGAGTTACTCGTGTGTATGTATGTGGGCAGGGAGAACGAGGGAGAGGTTGGAAGTGTTGAATTTCCGGCTTGTGGCATCCCAGAAGTATTTGAGCTGGTCTATTAACGTCAATAAAAATAATTATAATAATCCCCCAAAGAGGGTTTATTGCCCGCTTCTATTGCCCGCCCATTCTCCAGACTACAACTCCCAGCTTCCTCAGCCTCCAGGTCCCGCCCCCAGAACCGTTAGGGCCGCGCGCTCAACGACGGCGCTTGCGCAGTTCCCCCCCCTCCCGTTCCCCGGCGCGCGCAGAGGGCGGGAATCAAGCGGCGGTTGCCGCCAATGGGAGGCGCCGGTGGCCCCGTCAATCAAAAGCGCTCCGGCGGCGATAGTGGCGGGGGGTTCCCGCGCTCGGCGGCCGATGGTGAGGCTCGAGTTTGAGGGTGGTGGGGGAGCCGGAGGACTGCCCCTCCCATCCTCCCCAGCCGGCCCTCCCATCCTTCCCAGAAACCCCTCGCAGTGGAGGACGGACTGCAACTTCTTTCCCCTCCCACCTCCGTGCAATCTGTCGGACTCCAAATCCCATTATCCCCAGCCGGCACATCTAAAGGGTCAGTGCAGCTGCACTAAGCGACCTCTCCTCTGCCGGCGGAGTCTCCGTTGCTCCCCCACCCCCTTTTATTTGCTGGACTACGGGTCCCATTATCCCCAGCACAGCATTGCTCGACAGGTGTGCTTAATCAACACCTTCCGAGGCTCCGTTGGACTGCAGGTCCCATTATCCCGCAGCCAGCAAGTACTGCTGCATCCTTGGTTCCTGCAGATGCTGTAAGGGATCCTCCCGTCTGCTGGTGGGACCACTATTGCTGCCCCTTCCCCTTTTTTGCTCCTGGACTACAGGTCCCATCATTCCCAGCGCAGCATAGTTCTCCTGATGTGCTAATCCAGATCTCCCTCCATGCCTCTGTTCAATTGCAGGTCCCATTACTCCTTGCTGTTATCCAAGGCTTCAAACTGTGATTCCCATCGCCCTTCGTGAGACCGGCTAGTATCAAACTATAATTCCCACACCTGGAATCCTGTGTGACACACCTGGAATGCAGCAATTTGGACCTGAGGGAGCACTTAAGTAATGCTCAGACTCATATGTGACCCAGAACACCTCAAAACTTACCACTATAATTGCTTTTAGTGTGTAAAGGAGAAATCACTTGTTTACTAACAGGCAGCAAACTTGAGTTATGCATCTGGAAATAATATGAGTGACATTTCATTATTAATAAAACAAAATTAGATTTATATTCCGTGCACAGCAGGGCCAAAATCTGCAAACTTCTAAATTAGACTGGCTCACGCTTAGCAGATTTCTCCGTTCAGCTTTGGATTCTCATTTTATATTTCTTGATGAAAATTCTGGTGCAATTTTATATAAAAAAAAGACCCAAATGAGGTCTTTTTGTTTTCAGGCATCCTGAACCTTGTTACAGGTAATCTTTGACTTAGAAACGTTCGTTTTGTGACTGAAGTTACAACAGCACTGAAGAAAGTGACTTATACCCATTTTTCACATGAACATTGCAGCAAAATTCGGACACTTGGCAATTGACTCATAGTTATGACGGTCGCAGCGCCCCAGGATCACATGATCCCCTTTTGCGACCTGACAAAGTCAACGGGGAGCTCAGATTCACTTAACCAGGTTACTAATTTAACAACTGCAGTGTTTCTCTTAACTGGCAAGGAGGGTTATAAAATGGAGCAAAACTGACTTAGCAATGGAAATTTTGGGCTCACTTGTAGTAACTCAAGGACTATCTGTACTTTTTAATTTCTTTTTCCTACTTTCAACAAAATGTAGTTACACCAACCACCAACCAACTAATTTAAATAAGCTTTAGCAATACCGTACAGCAGCAAAGTACGATTTAGCGGTAGGTAATGTTACCTGCCACAGGGTGCAAGCGTTAGAGTTTGTTATTTGATACAGAGCAAATTTTAAAAAAAAGCCTACCACTGTATCATTATTTAAGAGTTATTTTGAGCAAGCAAGTTGGTTGAGTTCATCAGAAGTCTTCAGGCTAAATAAGGAATTTCAAAAATTGAAAGAAGAGAAGTCAGGATTAGTGGAAGGTGTGGCTGTATTTTCAGAAAACATTAACCCAGTGATTCTCAATCTTTGCATCCCTTATATGTGTGGACTTGGGCTCCCAGAATTCCGCAGTCTGCATGAAAATTCAACTTTTTCGATTAGTTGTTTCATGAAGTATTCATGAACATGATCAATCCTTGTGCTGAATTTCCAAATTACGAAAATTGCTATACAGGTAGTCCGTCATTTAGGTTTATTTTTAATTTGTTTATCAAATTTATTTGCCGAATCTCACGATTCCAAGGTGACCGCGAGCATATTTTCCTCCTGGATTAGATTAGATTAGATAATCTTTATTGTCATTTTTTTTTTACTGTGGGCACAAGGGGACTTATTAAAAATGAAATTTAGTTGCTTGCTCATGTAGTCCTTGACTTACAACTTTTTGTTTAATGACCACTCAAAGTTACAAAGACACTAAAAAAGGGACATGATCATTTTTCACATTTATGAGTGTTGCGGCATTCCCATGGTCATGTGAACAAAATTCAGATGCTCGGCAGCTGGTTCAGACTTATGATGGTTGCAGCGTCCTGCAGTCACACGATCCCCTTTTGTGACCTGACAAGCAAAGCCAATGGTGAAGCCGATTCACTTAACAACTATTTTGCTGACTTAACAACTGCAGTGATTCACTTAACAGTTGTGGCAAAAAAGGTCATAAAATGGGGCAAAATTCACTTAAGAACTGTCTCGCAAATTTTGTTGCTCATTGTGGTCAGATAGTCCTCAACTTACAACCATTAGTAGTTATGTTGGCACTGAAAAAAGTGACTTGCGACTGGTCCTCATACTCACAAACGTCGCACCATCCCTGTAGTCAGGTGGTCAGAATTTGAGCGCTTGGCAACTGGCATACATTTAACAATGTTTTCAGTGTCCCAGGGTCTCGTGATCATCATTTGCAACCTTCCAGCCAGCTTCTGACAAAGTGAAGAGGGGAAGCCAGATTCAGTTAGCAACGACAGTGATTTGTTTTACGACCGTGACAAAAGCAATAAAATCAGGTGTGACTCTTGATCGCTCAATTAGTGACAGAAGTTCCGGTGGTTATAAGTTAAGGATTATTGTGTTTTCTTTCCTCCGGGTTATGTAGAATGTCATCAACAAAGTGGATGCCAGCTTCTCTTAATATTGAGGGGGAAAGTACACGTAGTCCTTGACTTATGACCACAGTTTAGACCAGTGGTTCTCACCCTGTGGGTCGGGACCCCGTTTGGGGTCGAACGACCATTTCACGGGGGTCGCCAAACAACGCAGTCCGCCATTTTTTCCCCCTTTTCCTTAGCTGTGCTACTCCCTTTTATTCTATTGGCTTTTGGAAGCCAATAGAAGAGACTCTCTTGAATAGAGTCTAATTCTATTGGCTTTGCAAAGCCAATAGGAATTGTCCAGGCTGTCTCTGCCCTGCTGAGCCCGCCAAAAGTCCCATTCTGCAAACGGTGCTGCACCAGTTGAGTAGTCCTCGACTTACCGACCGGTTGAGTAATCCTCGACTTACGACTGGTTGGGGTCATGGCATTAAAAAGGTTGAGAACCACTGGTTTAGACCTAAATTTTTCTTGAGAAGCAAGGCAGTTTTTATCTGACTTGTGCCCAAATTTACAACACTTTTCCCCATGGTTGCTGAATCACCACTGTTGTTCTTTGAAAAAAAAAAAAAAGGTCTTAAAAATACTATTAGTCCCCAAATTTTCAAGCTGTATTTATATATATTAATTCCAAATAGGTCTTATGGGTTTTGCCATTTTCCCTAAGTAATTAATTCACTGCTTTTCTTTTCAGAGGGAATGGGGTGAAAATCAGGGGAAGTGATTTGGGTAGATTTTCAGGAAGAGGCTTTAAAATCATAAAGAAAGGATCAGGTCTCATTCAGTTTCATCCACACAGTTGTTTGGTAGTGCTTGTTGACTTCCGTAGCCAGCAGCTTCGGACTGGCTATACGAATGCAGCCAGTCTTTCCCCCGCCAGTTTGGAGGGCTTCCTCGGATCAAAAGGGAGAGCTGTCAACCTCCCCCCCCCCCCGATCAACAAGAGTCCCTCTGCTTGCTGCCAAAGAAAGTATTCCAAGTGTGGCCTTACCAAGGCCTTGTAAAGTGGTATTAACACTTCACAAGATCTTGAGTCTATCCCTCTGTTAATGCAGCCTAGCACTGTGTTGGCCTTTTTGGCAGCTGCAGCACACTGCTGGCTCATATTTAGGTGATTGTCTACTAGGACTCCGAGGTCCCTCTCACAGTTACTACTATTGAGCATGGTGCCACCTATGCTGTACTTGAGCATTTGGTTTTTCTTGCCTAAATGTAGAACCTTGCTTTTTTCACCCTTGAATTTCATTTTGTTAGTTAGTGCCCAGTGTTCAAGTCTGTCCAGATCCTTCTGTATCCTAAGCCTGTCTTCTGGAGTGTTGGCTATTCCTGCCAGCTTGGTGTCATCCGCAAATTTGATGAGTTCCCCATCTATCCCCTCGTCCAGATCGTTGATGAAGATGTTGAAGAGCACTGGGCCTAGAACAGAGCCCTGGGGCATCCTACTACACACTTCCCTCCATGTAGATGCGGTTCCATTGAGGACGACACACTGAGTACGGCCGGTCAGCCAGCTACGGATCCATCTGGTGGTGATGCTGTCTACCCCACATTTTTCTATCTTCTGAAATAGTTGGTTGTGATCTACTTTATCAAATGCCTTACTGAAGTCCAAGTAAATTATATCCACAGCATTCCTCTGATCCACTAATTTGTCAAAGAATGCAATAAGATTTATAATAATAGTAGTAAAGTTGGAAGGGACCTTGGAGGTCATCTAGTCCAATCCCCTGCTCGGGCAGGAAACCCTACACCATTTCGGACAAATGGCTTTTCATGTCTTCTCATCATTTGTGAGATCACGTTATGCAAATTATGCAAAGGACATCCATTCTCCAATTTCTCTGAGATGTACTGTATGTTATGTTCATATGTTCATATTAGTAAAGTTGGAAGGGATCTTGGAGGTCATCTAGTCCAACCCCCTGCTCGGGCAGGAAACTCTACACCATTTCGGACAACTGGCTGTCCAGTCTCTTCTTAAAAACTTCCAGTGTTGGAGCATTTACTGCTTCTGGAGGCAAGCTGTTCCACTGATTCCACTGGCATGATCTGTTTTTGACAAACCCATGTTGACTTTTAATAATGACTTTGTTTGCCTCTAAGTGTTCACTGATTCGTTGTTTGATTATCTTTTCCAGGATCTTCCAGGTATTGAGGTCAGGCTGATAGGTCTGTAATTTCCTGGATCCATTTTTTTTTCCTTTTTTGAAGATGGGAACTACATCAGCTCTTTTCCAGTCTTCTGGTAGTTCCCCAGTGCTCCAGGATCTTTGAAAAATACTGTATTATTCAGTGGTTCTGAGATCACATCTGCCAATCCCTTGAGAACCTAGGGTTGTAATCCATCTGGTCCTGGTGATTTGAACTCGTCTAGGCTGGACAGGTGCTCACTTACCGTTTTCTTGTCTATCTTGTGTTTCTATTCTGTTTTTTATGGCACTATTTTTGATAGGTTGGTCTGTTTTTTCCCTTTGTGTAAAGACAGATGCAAAAAACGAGTTAAATAGTTCTGCTTTCTCCCTATTGCTTGTCACCTTGCCACTTTCCACCACTAATGGACCAATCATTTCCTTCACTTTTTTCTTGTTTTTTACATGTTGAAAGAAGCTTTTTTGTTGTTATTTTTGACTTTGGTCTCAAGGCTTAGTTCGTTATGAGCCTTAGCTTTCTTTATCTTTAACTTCCATTAAAACAACAGAGAAAAGTCCTCAAAAGATAAACCACCTGTAGCAAGATGAAGGATTTTCAATCAAATGAAAACTTTTTTTTTTTAAAAAAGCACACCTGTGGATAATCTCAACCCTGATCCTCACGTGTTTGCTAATGGTGTGTGTGGGGGAGGGGGGGAACATCCTATAACTTGGCAACAGTTTCTGTGTGTGAGTCCTCGTGTATAACAGTGTATCAGCGTCCCATAGCAGCAGCTCTGAAGGCAGTTGAAAGGTGGTTAAGGTATAAAATTATATCGGTTATTTCAGTGGAGCATTTTAATCCCCCAGGCTGCAGAAAGAAATTGGTTGCTGTTGAACCTGGGCAGGTAAGGTTAGAATGAATGAAAGAAAGTGGACACAGGTGACCCTTCCCCATAATTGGAATGAGCAAGAAGGATGTAAAAAGAGAATTTTGAGAAATGTCATTTAAAGCGGTTGCATTCTTTTAGTGGCCTTTTTAAAATGTTATTTTACTATATCACCGAAGGGGCATTTGGGGGTATCTGCATGTTTTTTTAAAGATCACTTAGGTTTGAGATATTAAATGTATATAATATATTATAACTGGAAATGATAAAATAGTGGGTAATTTCTGAAAAGCAATAGAGTACAATATTTGTAACTTAGGGTTGAGCTGTGGGGTGGTACTCTCTGAGCTTGGTGGTTTTCTTGCAGACATTTCACGACCCAACTAGGTAACATGATCAGTGCTAGAAGGGAGGGGGGTTTGTGGAGAGGAGGAGGAGGAGGAGGAGGGGGAGGAGGAGAATTGTGGGGTCCTTGGTGCTCTCTGAACTTAGTTGCATTCTTGCAGACATTTTATGACTCAATTAGGGGATACAATCAGTGCTAGAAGGGAGTGGGGTTTTCAGAGGGGTGAAAGAGGAAAAATATAAAATAACAGAGTTGGAAGGGACCTTGGAGGTCTTCTAGTCCAACCCCCTCTTCAAGCATTCCAGACAAATGGCTGTCCAGTCTCTTCCTGAAAGCTTCCATTGATGAAGCCCCCACACCTTCTGAAAACAAGCTGTTCCATTGGTTGAAAATTTCTCTGACATTGTTAAGTCCTAGTGGACAACCATTTAGATATGAGCCAGCTGTGTGCTGCAGCTGCCAAAAAAGCCAACACAGTGCTGGGCTGCATTAACAGAGGGATAGAATCAAGATCACGTGAAGTATTAATACCACTCTTCAATGCCTTGGTAAGGCTACACTTGGAATATGGCATCCAGTTTTGGTCACCACGATGTAAAAAAGAGGTTGAGACTCTAGAAAGAGTGCAGAGAAGAGCAACAAAAATGATCAGGGGACTGGAGGCTAAAACATATAAGGAACGGTTGCTAGAATTGGGGATGTCTAGTTTAATGAAGAGAAGGACCAGGGGGGACATGATAGCAGTCTTCCAATATCTCAGGGGCTGCCACAAAGAAGAGGGAGTCAAGCTATTCTCCAAAGCCCCTGAAGGCAGAACAAAGAAGCTATGGATGGAAACTAATCAAGGAGAGAAGCAATCTAGAACTAAGGAGAAACTTCCTGACAGTTAGAACAATTAACCAGTGGAACAACCTGCCTCCAGAAGTGGTAAATGCTCCAACACTGGAAGTTTTTAAGAAGAGACTGGACAGCCATTTGTCCGAATGGTAGGCAATCTTGGCTCTTTTCTGACTCGTGGACTTCAACTCCCAGAATTACTGAGAGCCAAGGTTGCCTACCCCTGGTATAGGGTTTCCTGCCTGAGCAGGGAGTTGGACTAGATGACCTCCAATGTCCCTTCCAACTTTATTATTATTATTATTAAGTTGTGAAGAGGTTGTTAAGTGAATCAGTGCAGTTGTTAAGTGAACCTGGCTTCCTCCATTGACTGCTTGTTGGCAGCTGGCTGGGAAGATTACAAACGGTGATCACATGACCCCAGGACACTGCAACCGTCATAAATATGTGCCAGTTGCAAATGGCCCAGATTTGAGGATGCTGCAACTATATTGTTTTCCATTCTGTTGTAACTTCAAACAGTCACTAAACTTCGTAGGTCGAGGACTACCCAACCGGTCATAAGTCGAGGACTTTCCCTGCCCGGGAGCGCCGTGCATGCGTGATGCTGCTCCCTGCGCCAGCCGAGGTGTAGCTGGCAAGGGGCAGCGACGGCGCAGGACGACCACCGGCTGGGCCACCAACTGGCCCAGCCCAAGGGAGGTAAGGCACCCCCCCCCCGGGCCCCACGTGCGCCAGCAACCCTCCCTGCACCCGCAGGCCTCCCACCTCCCACCCCTGGCCCTCTTTTACTTACATTTTTAGTAGTTGCTCAGCAGGGAGGGGTGGAAATTCCAGACAGCTCGCCTTCACTGCAGACAACTTGCAGCACCGTTTGCAGAATGGGACTTTTGGCGGGCTCAGCAGGGCAGAGACATCCTGGACAATTCCTATTGGCTTTTGAAAGCCAATAAAATTAGACTCTATTCAAGAGAGTCTATTCTATTGGCCAATAGAATAAAAGAGAGTAGCACAGCTAAGGAAAAGGGGAAAAAAATGGCGGACTGCGTTGTTTGGCGACCCCCGTAAAATGGTCGTTTGACCCCAAATGGGGTCCCGACCCACAGGTTGAGAACCACTGCACTAAACAAATGCTTAGAAGTTGAGGACAGCTGTGTTACAAAGGTAGATCTGGACCACTATTTAATCATTGTTTCCTTGTGCCAATGACTGCCTGCAGAGAAAAGAGTGTAACGAATTACCAGTTTTTAACCAGGAGCATTATGGATGTTTTCTGATGTTTATTTTTAATCACTGTCCTTCTGTAATCAGAGTCAGGAATAAATCAATAGCTTCTTCTTATAGCTGTGGCATCTTTTTTACAGATTAAATTCCTTTAGTGACCGTTCAAAGTTACAACAGCACTGAAAAGTTGAGTTATGACCATTTTCACATTTAAAACCGTTGCAACACCCCCACGGTCGAATGATCAAAATTCACACGTTAGGCAACTGATTCATCTTTATGACTGTTGCAGCATCCCAGGGTCACATGATCCCATTTTGCGACGTTCTGACAAGCACTGTCAGTGGGGAAGACCAGATTCACTGAAAATTTCAGAGGAGGAGGGGGTATCCATCAGAACTTCAAATCTAGGTCATAGGTAACTTTTGGTCTTCGTCATAAGTTTGAATTGCCACTAATTGAGCAGTCGTAAGTTGAGAACTACCTATTCCTATTCAAGTATGTGTGGAGAAAATGGAGCTCCAATTTCAAATATATTTCTATAGAGATTAAAGTGAAATACAGGCTCACTTTACAACAGTTCATTTAGTGGCCGTTCAAAGTTACAACAGCACTGAAAAAGGTGACTTGTGACCATTTTTCACACTTAACAACCGTTGCAGCACCTCCGGTGGTTATGTGATTTACTTCATATGCTTGGCAACTGACTCATATTTGTGACGGTTGCTCTGTCCTGGGGTCCTGTGATCCCCTTTTGCAACCTGACAAAGTCAACGGGAAAGTCAGATTCACTTAATAACAGTGTTACTAACGTAACATCTGCAGTGATTCACTTAACAATTGTGGCAGGAAAAGTCGTAAAAACAGGGCAAAACTCACAACAAATTTCTCACTTAGCAACAGAAATTTTGGGCTCTGTGGTGGTCCTAAGTTGAGGACTACCTGTATTTTTGCATGGGTGTTGTGATTTAAGTCTGTGGGAAACCCTCTTTTTTCTGATTATTTTCTAGCTTATTGGGGTTGACTCTGCTCCTGCCTATGAAATCAGTTTTTTTGTGTCTGTAATTGCTCCTCAGAGAAACCAAAGGGGTCAAGAAATGAGTGCCCCATTTTTCGGTGAAAGAACAAATACACCTTTTGCTGTGGAATATCCCCAATTATCCAATAGCTCGTTGAGATGTGAAGACGGTGGCAGGATGGGGACTTCTCTGCAGAAACGTTCAGATCAATGGTATGAACCACGAACCTTTCAGGGGTCCTCTGCTCGTGTACCCACAAACACTCACACATACCTGTCCCTTGACATTTTATCTACATGGTTTGTCTGCTTTTATGAATCTGCAAGTTAAGCCTTTTAAGCTCAAATTGATCACAAATAATATTGTGGAAGAAATGTGAAGAGAGATAGTTTGGTACCAGACTAGAAAGCGGGTGATGGGGAGTTCTAGTCCCGCCTTAGGCATGTATTCCAACTGGGAGACTTTGGGCCAATCACCAGGAGACAATAAGTTCTAGTCCTGCCTTAGGCACGAAAGCTAGCTGGCTAACTTTGGGCCAATCACCAGGAGACGGTGAGTTCTAGTCCCGCCTTAGGCATGTGTTCCAACTGTGAGACTTTGGGCCAATCACCAGGAGACAATGAGTTCTAGTTCCGCCTTAGGCACAAAAGCTAGCTGGCTAACTTTGGGCCAATCACCAGGAGACAGTGAGTTCTAGTCCCGCCTTAGGCATGAAAGCTAGCTGGCTAACTTTGGGCCATTCACCAGGAGACGGTGAGTTCTAGTCCCACCTTAGGCATGTGTTCCAACTGTGAGACTTTGGGCCAATCACCAGGAGACAATGAGTTCTAGTCCCGCCTTAAGGCACGAAAGCTAGCTGACTAACTTTGGGCCAATCACCAGGAGACAGTGAGTTCTAGTCCCGCCTTAGGCACAAAAGCCAGCGGGGTAACTTTGGGCCATTCACCAGGAGATGGGGAGTTCTAGTTCCACTTTAAACATGGAAGTCGGCTGGGTGACTTTGGGCCAGACCGTCTCTCTCTCAACCCAGCTCACCTTGTAGGATTATTGTGGGGAAAATAGGAAGATGTATTGGATATGTTCACCGCCTTGAGTTATTTGTAAAAAAATAATAATAATACAGTCCGCATGCAAATAAATAAATGACATCATAAGCCAGGTTTATTTTGCACTTGTTTATCCTTGTTTTTAGGACACAGATCAAGCTCTCTTACTCTGCCAACGGTCCTGATATGTTCGCCTTAGTGACCAGCATCTTACAGGAGCCCAATGAACCAGAAGCTATTGCAGACTGGTATAGTGGTGTCATTTCTCTCTCCCCCCCCAAATATTTTGTTAAAACTACCGATGTATTTCCTGATACTAACACCCTCATCCTAAACATGCAAAGAGGCATATCAGGCTAAGTTCAGTGGGACATATGGATCAATTTGCTGGACAATTCAGTCCAGATTAAGATGAGAGTGGGATCAATTTTATCCTGTGTCAGCTGTTGTTTTAGCAGAGTCTAAATTGGTAGGTTACGTCATAAATAATCTTGTGAATGCCTGCACTATACAGGTAGTCCATGACTCAACAACCATAACTGGTATCAGGATTTCTGATGCCAAGTAAGGAGATTTTATGTAGTGTCTGTCAGGGGAGGTGACCCTTTGAGAGCTGAATGCAGCGAAATTTCATTTTAATGTATGCCGATTAGTGCACATTCGAAGTGACAATAAAGTTGTTATTCTATTCTACTCTAGATTATTAAGTAAATTGTACTCGATTTTATGATCTTTTTAACCATGGTTGTAAAGTGAATGACTACTACAAAGAGAATTACACGGATGCTAAGCGATTCTGGTTTCCTGCATTGATTTTCGTTGTTGGAAAAACTAGCCAGGAACATCCCAAATGGTGATCACATGACCCCAGGATGCTGAACCATTGTAAGTCCTCGACTTACGACCACAATTGAGCCCAAAATTCATGTTGCTAAGTGAAACATTTAAGTGGGTTTTGCCCCACATTATGACTTTTCTTGTCATAGTTGTTAAGTGAATCGCTGCAGTTGTTAATTTGACAAATTCAATTCTATTTTCATCAATAATCAAAACACGAGATCCTCAGTTGTTGGTAGATACAATGTAATACTTCCTAAATTGATGTAAAAGTTTCACAGAAACTCAACTTACCTCCACATTACAGGTAGTCCTCAACTCACGACCATAACCGAGCCCAAAGTTTATGTTGCTAAGTGAGACATTTCTTAAGTGAATTTTGCCCCACTTTACAACATTTCTTGCTATAGTTCTTAAGAGAATCACTGCAGTTGTTAAGTTAGCCAAACAGTTGTTCAGTGAATCTAGCTTTCCCCATTGATTTTGCTTGTCAGAAGGTCGCAAAAGGAGATCACGTGACCCCAGGGCACTGCGACCGTCATAAATATGAGTCAGTTGCCAAGCATCCCAATTTTGATCACATGACCACAAGGAGGATGCAGAGGTCATGTGAAAACCAGTCATAAGTCACTTTTTAAAAATACCATTGTAACTTTGAATAGTCACTAAATGAAGTGTAGTCCTTGACTTATGATCAGCTGCTTAACAACAGTTTGAAGTTAGAATGGACATTTCCAGAGCTACTTAGGAGCCAGTTTCAAAGTTATGACGGACACATGCCCCAGAATCATATGATTACAGTGTAGGCCAGACATGTCAAACACAAGGCCCGGGGGCTGGATGCGGCCCGCGAAGTGGTTTCATGTAGCCCGTGAAGCCATCCTGGAAACAGTGAGGGAACAGCCCCCGCTGCCTTGGCCCTGGCCCAGTCCAGCCAGGAGCCAATGTACAATGTTGTGGTGGCCATCTATGCTGAAACACATTCAGTCTTAGCTCCACAAGGCTGTCTGGAAACAGCGAGGAACCAGACTTTGCCGCGTTGGCCCCATCCCCTGGGTGCATGCTGGGAGGGGTCCCCCTTTGTGAGGAATGAAGAAATGCACCATCGCCTGGAAGTGGCCAGCGAATGGCCCTCGCCTACTTCACATATCCGGCTTGATGGGCTATGGGAGAGGGGTTTTGGCAGGCAGTGAGGCTCCTCCAGTGGACCGTGTCTTGGTGCTTGCCCTGGTCCCCCCCCCTTCTGCCAGAGACCTTCAGATCTGTCCCACTCCTGCCCAGGCCCCCACAGGCACCCTTGACGCGAACGATGTAGAACTGGCCACGCCCACCCAGTAGGCCACACCCACTCCATCCATGCCCAACCAGTAGGCTGCACCCACCTGGCTCCCCGAGGCCAACCGCAATGCTGATGTGGCCCTCAATGAAATTGAGTTTGACACCCCTGGTGTAGGCAATTGGCAACCGGCTCACTTTTACAGCAGTTTGCAACATCCCGTAGTCATGTAATAACAATTTGCCATGTTTTTTGCTAATTTCTGGAGTTTATTTTTGGTTTCTGGCAAACAATGCCCCTTGGTGAAAATTGACTCACTTAATGACTATAGCATTTGTTTAACAACCATATTCTTTGCTTAACAATTACTACAAAAAATGTTAGAAAATTAGGTCTGGCCACATGATGCTTCAGTGACTTAAGACTGCACAGGTAGCCCTTACAACAGTTCATTTAGTGACCGTTCGAAGTTACAACGGCACTGCAAAAAAATGACTTATGTCCGTTTTTCACACTTAGGACCGTTGCAGCCTCCCCATGGCCACGGGATCAAAAATCGGGCTCCTGACAACTGACTCATATTTATGACAGTTGCAGTGTCCCGAGTCATGTGATCCCCTTTTGCGACAAGCCGAGTCAATGGGGGAAGCCAGATTCACTTAACAACCATGCGACTAACTTAACAACTGCAGTGATTCATTTAAATCTGGCAAGGAAGGTCGTAAAATGGGGCTAAATTCATCTAACAATTGTCTTGCTTAGGAACAGAAATTTTGGGCTCAGTTGTGGTCGTAAGTTGAGGACTATCTGTAAGTGTAGGCTCAGTTAACGGTTGTAAGTCAAATACTACCTATAAGGGGAGGCTCACAATTATGGGTGTAACTCAAGGACTACCTGCATAGAAAGAGCCTCAGATGGAAAACCCTGAAATATTATTAACCTTCAGGAGAGATTGTACTGTGATAGCTCATCAGCCTGATCCATCTGGATGCCGCTTTGTGGATCATGTAAGGAAGATAAAACACGTTTCGAAATGAAATTTTCTCCATTTACAGGGACCCTCTGTCAAAGTTGTTCCCTCCGTCTTGGACCATGAATTTGGAAAATAATAGCAGATACTCAAGGCTTTTTCCGACGAAAATATGGGATCATGAAAACCACACTAATGTGGTGGATGCACAGAGCTCTTACGAAGAAAAGTGGGGAGAGGCCTCTCCTACAGAACAGTTAAGCAGGCAACTCAGCGATCTGCAGGTGAGCTGCTCCTGGCCAGCCCCTTCTCGTCCTTGCTCTCCACCATCTGATGAAGTTCTGAACACCCCAGATCCACAAAACGAGTTTTCTACCCTTAACTGTTTTAATCAGCAATCCAACATTGTTCCTGAATGCAGTTACGGTAAGAAACAAGCCAGTATTAGCAGGAGAAACCATTCCTCATCACAGATCTGGGCTGAATTTTGCGGAGAAGATCAGGAGAGCACCACACAAGAAGCGCTTAGGGCCAGCGATACGGAAAGCTCAAGCGCCTCTTTCGTTCAGCTGCCTCATTCTGCGACGACAGATGGGGTATGGGATCCGGCAGTTCAGGAGAACCCTTTGTGTGCTAAAAGATGCACTTACGAATCACCCCAATCCCTGTCCTTCCTCACATCCCCATTTCAGCAAGAAAATAGCATCCCTGAAGGCAAACTTCACCAAAACTACCGGCAAAATTGTCCCGATAACCTGAGCACCCTGTTGGATAACATTAAAATTAAACATTCTGCGTATCCCCTCCGAGATTCTTCCAATCGTTTATCTCCACCCCCAAGTCTGAAGCATCAAAATTCATCCTGTGGTGGTGATGATAAACACCTCAAAAGCAGAAGTTTAAATCCCCCGAGGGCATCGTGTGCAACTAACAAAAAGCGAAAGCGAGTAAACGCTTTCTCATCTGTCCCGTCTGCTAATGGCTCCGTCGTCCAGACTTTTGGTTCCCAAGCAGCCCCACGAAAATGCAGCTCTTTGCAAAACAGCGGGTTTTCCAGTTGCAAGGAAAATCTAAAGCCGCACAATTCTGTCGGATGCTCCCCGGTTGATTTGCAAGCTCCCCAGCAGGAATACGTGGGTGAAATTTTGAGGGACGCTTCCTCCCCTGGCTGGCCACAGGGTCCTTCTGCAAACAGGCTCGCAAAAGGCCACGGGTTAGAGAATGAACCAAGCATAGACAATGCTGGTCAGAGTATGGGGCAAACTGAGAGACGGCGTAAAATGAACCCAGCCTCCGTTAGTCCGGACTGGACCGAGCTGGATGCATTGAGAAGCAAGAAAAAACTGGACCATTTGTTTCATTTCATCAACCCCTCGTTCCTTCCCTTCTTCATAGACTACAGCCAAATTCCAAATTTTCCCGTATTTCACCCTCCTCCATTTTCACCAGTCAATCTTCACTATGAGAACGTCCCCCATTTAAGTCATTTTATCAACCACCTTTCTTGTGGAGATGCCTCTGCGCCGTATCACACGTTCTCACCGCAGCTTCCCCGCAAGAAATCAGTCCCTAAGGGTGGGCCTGCCCACACGCTCCACGTGTGCCTGGAGGAATGTTACAAACAGTGCAGGTTGTTAAAAAAAGAGCGGAAAAAGGTGAGGAGGGGTTATTATGTGACACAAGTCTGCAGGCGGGGAGTTTTTCAGGAGACAGAAATTCCGGTCAACCCAGGTTGAGGGGGAAGGTCTGGGGATGGAAGCATGCACATCTGGAGAGCACCGAGATTGAGAAGGGTAGACTTGTATTTCCCTGTGGGACCCTTGATGCTCTCTGAGCTGGTGGTGTTCTTGTGGACATTTCGTGACCCAGCTAGGTAACATCATCAGTGCTAAAAGGGGGGGGGGGTGTGGAGAAGACTAGTCCAGGGCTTTTCAACCTTTTCACCCATTGTACCACTTTTAGGATATGGCAACATCCGAGTGCCACCAGTCGCCTAGGAAGGTGTCAAAACCTTGATGGCCAAAAAAAAGGAAAAAAAGTGATAAAGTACAGGTAGTCCTCGACTTACAACAGTTCACTTAGTGACTGTTTGAAGTTACAATGGCACTGAAAAAAATGCCACCCAAGCCACAGCCGAGCAAAACACCTGCCTGCCCGCCTGGCCACGCTCTTCCTCCTGTCCGAGGTTTTCATTGTTGTGAGCATTTCTGTTGAGGATTGGAGCGGGGGTGGGGTGGGGGGGTGTTTGGTTTTTATTCCCCCCCCCGTCTGCTGGGTGGTTGCAGCAGGTTTTGGTCACTTCACTTGACCCTGGGACACTGTGACCGTCATAAATATGAATCCGTTGCCAAGCATCTGAATGTAAATCACAAGACCCTGGAGATGCTGCAACATTCCAGCTGATCGGTGCTTCTTCTGGGCTCAGCAGAAGCCCCAGGATCAGCACTGAGCTCCAGCTGGAGCCTGGCACTGATCCTGGCGCTTCCACTGAGCCCTGATAGCCCTGCAGCTCCAGCCACCTCTTGCTCAGGCTTGTGTGGTGCTGCCGCCGGTTCAGCCCATTCCCCTCCCTCGCTATCACTTTTCTAGGATGGTCACGTATCACCTGCCAGGTGCCAATGTACCACAGGTGGTACCTGTACCACTGGTTGAAAAGCCCTGGATTAGAAGAGGAGGAGGACTGTGGGGTTCTTGATGCTCTCTGAGCTTGGTGGTTTCCTTGCAGATGTTTCATGACCCAGCTAGAGAACATCATCAGTGCTAGAAGGGAGGAGGAAGAGGGGGAAGAGGAGAAGGATGACAATGGGTTCCTTGGTGCTCTCTGAGCTTGGTGGTGTTCTTGCAGATGATTTATGACCCAACTAGGGAACATCATCAGTGCTAGAAGGGAGAAGGAAAAGGACTGTGAGGTCCTTAGTGCTCTCTGAGCTTGGTGCTTTTCTTGCAGACATTTCACAACCCAACCAGGTAACATCAGCAGTGCTAGAAGGGGGTGGGGTTTGTTCTCTCTAGCAGTAATAATGTTACATAGTTGGGTCATTAAATGCTGGGGTCTTTTCCTTGTGGTCACATGACCATGGGTCCCTTGCTTGGCAGCTGGCCTGCATTACGTCTCATTTCATGATGTTTTTGCTGAAAAATGTCCCTTATTTCCAGTTTCATCTAAACAAGCCCATAGCACTACATTGGTTCTCTCAGAGATGGCTGTGTTTGGTCACCGTCTGCGGCAGAAAAGGTCATAAAATCAGATCCGTCCCATGGATGACCTATTTTATGACCATCACCACTTAACGACTGTGATAGGCCAGCTCCACTATGGTCATAACTTGACTGTAATCGAAGTACACAGTTTGAAAAAAGACAATACAGGTCTTTTAGTGACCATTTGAAGTCACAACGGCACTGAAAAAAGCGCCTTATGATTGTTTTTCACACTTAGGTCAATTGCAGCATCCCCGTGGTCACATGATCAGAATTCAGACGCTTGGCACTTGATTCATATTTATGACGGTCACAGTATCCTGGGGTCAGGGGATCCCCTTTGACAAGCGAAGCCAAGGCGGAAGCCAGATTCATTTAAAAACCAGGTTACTAACTTATCAACTGCAGTGATTCACTTAACAACGCTGGCATGAAAGGTCGTAAAATGGGGCAAAACTGACAACATTACAAAAATGTTGGGCTCGTAAGTTGAGGACTAACTGTTAGGTAGTCTTCAATATGCAGCCATTCATTTAGTGAGCGTTCAAAGTTACAACCGGATTGAAAAAAGTGACCTCCATTTTTCACCCTTATGACCGTCGCAGCACCTTCCATGATCACATGATCAAAATCCAGATTCTTGGCAACTGACTCACATTTATGACGGTTGCAGTGTCCTGGGGGGGGAAACATCACTTGATCCCTTTTGCGACCTGACCAGTAGTGAAGCCAGATTCACTTAACAACTGCAGTGGTTCACTTAACAACGATGGCAAAAAAGGTCGTAAACTGGGGCAAAACTCACTCAAGAAATGTCTCATTTAACAACATAAATTTTGGGCTGGATTGTGGTTGTAATTCTTCTGTATTGTACCAACCACATGCATGAATGGATCTGTGTAAAGACCAGGGAATCAAATCCCAGCAGTTGATCTCTAGAGATTTAAAGAAAGGATCCACTTTTTAAAGACCAGTTGGGATTAAAGGGAAACTGCTATTCAGACTGGATCATGCTCTGAAAATTCTTTTTTTTTTAATTTTTATCCTCCAGACACAGGCTGACTTAGCAAAGGCTTTTCCTGAAAACTCCTTTGCCAGCTCTGAGGAGATTCTTTTGTCCCCGCTTCCAGCTAGGCCCTCTCGAGTGGATCGCCTGATTTGGATCCAGTTTCAAGAGCGAGCAACAGTGAGTACTGCATTCTGATTGGCCCAGCCTAAGGCGGGACTTGAACCCACAGCTTCCTGGTTTCTAACCTGGTATTTTAACCAGTAGGCCAAACGGGCTCTAGAATTAGGCAAAACAGATCAGCACCCTCATTATAGAGAGGGTCCCTGAATGGAACTACAGGCAGTCCTCAACTTACGACCACAATTGACTCCAAAATTTCTTGTCGCTAAGCGAGATAGTTGTTAAGAGCCGAGGTGGCGCAGCAGTTAGAGTGCAGTACTGCCGGCCACTTTAGCTGACTGTGTTCAGCAGGTCAGCGGTTCAAATCTCACCGGCTCAAGGTTGACTCAGCCTTCCATCTTCCATCCTTCCGGGGTAGGTAAAATGAGGACCCAGATTTTTGGGGGCAATGTAAAATATATATATATATACATTGCTTACTGGTGTACACCGCTTAGAGCAGCGGTTCTCAACCTATGGGTCGCGACCCCATTTGGGGTCGATCGACCATTTTACGGGGGTCGCCAAACAATGCGATCCGCCATTTTCCCCCCTCAGGGGGCGATGCCGCGCATGCGCGCTGCACATGGGGGTGGCGCCATGCATGCGTGCCGCGCCACACATGCGCGGCACATTCGTGTGACGGGGTCGCCGTCACACGAACGTTGAGAAATGCTGGCTTAGAGAGTGCTTGCACTTAAAGCGGTATATAAGTCTCATAAATAAATGAGTTTTGCCCCATTTTATGACCTTTCTTACCATGGTTGTTAAGTGAACCACTGCAGTTGTTAAGTTAGTACCTGGCTTCCCCATTGATTTTGTTTGTCAGAAGGTCGCAAAAGGGAGCTGCAAAGTCCCGGGACATTGCAGCCATCATAAATGTGAGCCAGTGGCTAAGCGTATGAATTTTGACCACGTGACCCTGTGAAAGGCCGCCCTAAGTCACTTTTCTCAGTATGGTTTGAAATTTCAAACATTCACTGAATGAACTGTTGTAAGGCGAGGACTACTTGGGAATATATTTTTAGAAAAATGTGACTCTTTTCAGTGCGTTATAACTTTGAACAGCCACTAAACCAGTGGTTCTCAACCTTTTTAATGCCGCGACCCCCAACTGGTCGTAAGTCGAGGACTACTCAACCGGTCGTAAGTCGAGGACTACTCAACTGGTGCAGCACCGTTTGCAGACTGGGACTTTTGGCGGGCTCAGCAGGGCAGAGACAGCCTGGACAATTCCTATTGGCTTTTGAAAGCCAATAGAATTAGACTCTATTCAAGAGAGTCTATTCTATTGGCTTTCAAAAGCCCATAGAATAAAAGGGAGTAGCACAGCTAAGGAAAAGGGGGGAAAAAATGGCGGACTGCGTTGTTTGGCGACCCCCGTGAAATGGTCGTTCGACCCCAAATGGGGTCCTGACCCACAGGTGGAGAACCAGTGCACTAAACGAATGATTGTAAGTCAAGGATGAGTTGTATCACCATTGCAGCGTGATCAAAATTCGAGTGCTTGGCAGCCATGATGTGTTTTACATGGTTGTGGCATCCCTGGGACACGTGATCTCCATTTGCGACCTTCCCAACCGGCTTCCGACGGGTTACCGTCAGTAGGAAAAGCTGGGTTTGCTTAATGACCTTGTGATTCACTGGGGCCCCTGGTGATTTGCTTAACGAAAGCTCGGAACACCAGGCACAACTCCCTTAATGACTGCCTCGCTTAACGATGGAACTCCTTGTCCCCATTGTCATGATTTCCCGTAGAAAAGTCGAACTATTTATTTTTCAAAGATGAACACCCACCCCCACACTCAACCCCAGTAAAATGCAGTTTTGTCTTTTTGACTTTCTAAGGTTTGCACCTTACTTGGGAAGATGGAACACCTTTGTGACGTTTCCATCCACAGCAGAATATCGGCAACGTTGGGGCGTCACTTGGAAGCCATTCACACGACCCAGGCCAGGCGCAAGGATGAGATTCTTAATGCTAGTAACCAGAGGCCAGGGACATCATGTGTCACCATGGAAAAAGGTAAATACTTTGGGTTTAGTTTATTGGCAAAGGGTGACTTGGAGGTCATCTAGTCCAACCCCTTGCTCAGGCAAGAAACTCTATACCAGGGATGGTGAACCTTTTAGAGACCGAGTGCCCAAATTGCAACCACAAACCCACTTATTTATCGCCAGGTGCCAGGTGGGCGTGGCCCACTGGATGGGTGTGGTTGTGGTGGTCATGGCAGATTGGGTGGGTATGGCCAAGGTGGACATGATCACCTCGATGTTGCTCATGGGGAGGGATGCCTGTGGTGGCCGGGCAGGGTTGGGGGAGATCCAGGGAGTCTCTGCAGGTGGGGCTGTGGGCAGGAGGCTCATCCTGCGGGGTGAGGCGAGGCAAGGCGAGGTGAGGCAGGGCGGGGGTGCCAATGTCACAGGGTAAGGTGAGGTGGGGGTCGGGGCGGCTGCTACCTGACACCATCGGCCCCTGCACACAGAGGCCAGGGAGCGCATGGGTGCTGGGATGCATCTGGCCATGTGGGACCTCGGCGAGTTAGCAGACGGCTGGTTGAAGAGGGACGATTGCCATCTCCGGGGCATGGCACGTGTGCCCACAGAGAGGGCTCTGAGTGCCACCTCTGGCACGCGTGCCATAGGTTCGCCACCACTGCCCTATACTATGTCAGACAAATGGCTGTCCAATCTTTTCTTAAAAACTTCCAATGTTGGAGCGTTCACACTTCTGGAGGCAGGTTGTTCCACTGGTTAATTGTTCTCCCTGCCAGAAAATTTCTCCTTAGTTCTAGGTTGCTTCTCTCCTTGACTAGAGAATAGCTTGACTCCCTCTTCTTTGGGGCAGCCCCTGAGATATTGGAAGACTGCTGTCATGTCCCCCCTTGTCCTTTGTAGGACGCTAAGAAAAAGACGGAGGCATGTCTTGAGCAGAGGTTTGAAGCTGCAGGACACAGCTTGACAAACTCTGAGTTTATTGCTTCTTATATACTTGTTACATACATAGGCTTTACCATTAAATGCTGACAAAGGTTTCTTCACTGGAAAATGTCTTCATGTAAGCAACTATTTTCTAGTAACACATTACATGGTCAAAGATCAGATAAGAACAAATACAGGTAGATGAAAACAGAAGGAACTAACAAAGATAGGAAGAGATAGGAGAAGGAACTAAGCATATTACCTGTTTAGGTAGGTAAGGCATTAAGTCAAAAGGGGATGACCTTTTGGCTGCTTCATTAGGACAAAGGATATCAAAAGGTTATGAGGTTTGTGGGGGGGAAAGCATGGCAGTTTGCTGCGCGTGCATTTTCCCCACAGCCCTTCTCTTCATTAAATTGGACATCCCAAATTCCCGTCACCGTTACTTATATGTTTTAGCCTCCGGTCCTCTAATCATCTTTGTTGCTCTTCTCTATACTCTTTCTAGAGTCTCAACATCCTTTTTACATCGTGGTGAGCAAAACTGGATGCAGTATTCCAAGTGTGGCCTTATAAAGACGTTGTAAAGTGGTATTAACATTTCACATAATCTTGATTCGATCTCTGTTAATGCAGCCTAGCGCTGTGTTGGCTTTTTTGGCAGCTGCAGCACACTGCTGGCTCATATTTAAGTGATTGTCCACTAGGACTCCGAGATCCCTCTCACAGTTACTACTATTGAGCAAGGTGCCACCTATACTATACCTGTACATTTGGTTTTTCTTGCCTAAATGTGGAACCTTACTTTTTTCACCATTGAATTTCATTTTGTTAGATAGCGCCCAGTGTTCAAGTCTGTCCAGATCCTCCTGTATCCTAAGCCTGTTTTCTAGAGTGTTGGCTGTTCCTGCCAGCTTGGTGTTGTCTGAGAATTTGATGAGTTCCCCTTCTATCCCCTTGTCCAGATCGTTGATGAAGATGTTGAAGAGCACTGGGCCTAGAATAAAATGGAATGGAACAGAACAGAATTAGAATAGAATGAATTAGAAAGGAACAGAACAGAATAGAATTGTTGGAAGGGACCTTGGAGGTCTTCTGGTCCAGGGCTTTTCACTTTTTCATCAATTGTACCACTTTTAGGATATGGCAATATTCGAGTACCACCTATCAAGGTGATAAAAAAAAACCTGTTCAAAGTTGCAGTTGCACTGGAATGACCATTTTTCACACTTATGACAATTGCAGCATCCCCAGAGTCATGTGATTTATATTTGGATGCTTGGCAACTGATTCATATTTATGATGGTCACAGTGTCCCAGGGTCATGTGATCCCTTTTTGCAACCTTTTGACATGCAAAGTCAATGGCAGGGCTGCTGGTGGCCAAATGTTAAGCCGGGACTTCCTTCCCTCCCTCCCTCCCTCCTTCCCTGCCTCCCTCTTTCTCATTCCCATCTCCTTCTGAAGGAGGAATTTGAACTCCTCCCCCCATATTTACCCTCTTCTTTATATTCATCGAACAAGGAAAAGTCTCCAGAGACAGAAAAGACAAGCCACTGAGGGAACTAGCTTTAAAAAAGCGCATTCCCCTTTAAGAATTAGCTACTGGCTAGAAAGGAAAGTTAAGGAGCGGGGTACTTAAGGAAGAAAAAAACAAATGTAGTAAGTACTGGCTGCCCACTAAGGCAGCCTCCCCAAATGGCTCCATTCATAAGTAAAGGAATGCTACAGGCAAAATCCATTCAGGAGAAAAATACTTCAAAATCCCTTGCAGCAAAACTTACAGCTAAAAATAGCAGAGCAATAGAAGCTAACAGGAGACATCAGCCATCAGCCAAATAGAAATTGCCAAACAGTCCTTAAGAACCCAAAGCCCACATTGCACAAATCCCAGAACTTCAAAGTCACAAAAGCACATAAGAATCCTTCCACTCTCCTTGTTTGTTGTTCAGCTGAAAGGGCACTTCACTTCTGCCATTAAACACCTCCTCCCTCCCTCCTGCTCCTCCCTCCCTCTTTCTCATTGCCATCCCTCTTCCTCCCTCATCTCGAGCCATGCTGCCTTTCTTCATTCCTCGTGAAGGGCAACCCCTGCTGCGTTTCTTGCCTGTTTATTGCTGCCAGCACAGATGGCTGCCACAGAAGTTGTAGATCGGCTTATGGCCGGCCTGCTTGATCTCCTCTCTTCTCCCCCCACCCTCCTCCATTTTCTTCTTTCCCTTCAGTGCAGCTAGAGCTGATTCCACCTCCACCCAAGGCTGCGTCTTTTTCTCTCTCTTCCTCTCCCGCCCAAACTGGCTCCTTTTATAGCCTCTCCCGTCTCCACCCCCTCCTCCTCCTTTCTCATTCGGGTGAGCCAGAAGTGCCGATCCTGGGGCCTTTGCCTTGCCCCAGCCACTCTGCAGCACCAGAGGACTCTCTTAAGGCAAGTCTGTGCTGCTTTGGCTCGTTCCCTCCCCCACTATACATTACCACATGGTAATGTACCACAGGTGATATGCGTACCACTGGTTGAAAAGCCCTGGTCTAGTCCAATCCCCTGCTTAGGCAGGAAACCCTATACCATTTCAGACAAATGGCTGTCCACTCTCTTCTTAAAAACTTCCAGTGTTGGAGTATTCAGAACTTCTGGAGGTAGGTTGTTCCATTGATTAATTGTTCTTACTTTCAAGAAAGTTTTTCTTGGATTTTTTTTTTAAAAAGCCTGATGAATCTCCCCTCTTAAATTAAATTTTATTTTTGTTGCAGATATTCTCGCCTTGGCATCTGCTGTGAACGAGCTCACATCCTCCACACGAAAAACCCGCACAACTTTATGGTGTGCTTTTCAGACTGCTCTTCCCAAAACTTTGACAGGCAATTCTGATCTGGCCAGCATCCCCTTACAAACCAAGATCCTCAGAAAAGGCGAAGACAAAGAAAATGAGCGAGTGAATTAGAAAGAATTTGCAGCCGGTTATGAAATGACATACTCATTTTTTTTATAAAGCAGCCAATTTAATTGATTTTTCTTGTTTTCCCCGTCCTGCTGGCATTCAAGCCTAGATAATTGCAGAAATCTTAGTAGTATAACTCTGAAAAGTTGACGCAGTTAAGCAATATTTATTTGCATTAAAGATTTTTCACCCAAATACACCAACGAGGAAGTGGCTAAACCCATGTAGCACCTTTGTTAATTTTTGCAATGCAACCTATTTTGTTTTATTTTTCCTAGTTTTTGGAAGATTAATATTTCAAGTGCCAAACTTAATGGCAAACCACGATATGTTTCTCCTTTCTCCCAGACCGATTGTGAATAAGCCATACTTCGATGGATGTCAGGAGGTGAAGCCCTGAGTTTAAATAAATCATTGTCTGGATGAAGTTGCATGAAAGTGTGGGATTTGCATCAGCACCCCGATGTTTCAAGCTGGGCTCGCTTGCAACTGCGAAGTTCTGAGAAGACTTTTTCAGCATCTTTTGAAAGAAAAAAGATGTAATATCAAGCACTAAACGGTGTTTTAGGCTAGAATGTTAGCCATGCAGAATAAATGGCTTAGCACCCAACATTTCATCTTAATTTAAGGATAGATAAAGCCCACTGTAGCCCAAAGACCAGTAACTGCCTCTGGGAGTTGAAAATCATTTCTTTATTCCTGTCTGAACTGTTGAGACTATTATTTTATTTGAAATGTGCTTCTTGGGGGGGAAAAAATCACTGCTAACGAGATATTTATCTCAATGAAAAATAACTATTTTTTTTCTTATTTAAGGTATGTTTTTGATCCTTGGGCAGAGTTAATAATCAGGCTTAATAGATGCTCAGGATCTGTTCAGGTAGGAATCATGTAGAAGTATGCCCAGTGTGTTAAATTTGTAGGGTTGTTTGTTGTAATAGTTGCATGAAACTAACATTCCTTGAACCTGTTTTGTTTTTATCAGGAAGTGTTTTTTTTTTTTTGTAAATTAATGAGCTGGTGTTTGTCTCTTGGACAATCGAGTGTGTTATGTGCCAGGATGAAGTTACACAATGACAGTGGGGTTCATCCCCCTTCTAAGTATTAATATTTTTGCCAACGTAAACCATGAGATAGTCTTGGTGTGTGGATAATTAAGCAATGTGTTGAAATTTTATAGCTTAATGGCGAAGTCCTAAAAAGGAAGGAAGGGAGGGCGGGAATTCAAATGATTAGGGTGTGTTTAATTTATGTTTAAAAAGCTAACAAATTGGATATTGCTTTAGCAAGTGTAAGTGAGTCCTGATCTAAATACTTCATATTCCTCAGTTTTGGCTTATGGATATTAAAGAAAATGTTTTATATCCAGACATAGATGCAGCTGGAAGAGAGGGGACAGGAAGGACAGGATAGGAGGGAGGGAGGAAAGAAAGGAAGGAAGGAAGGAAGGAAGGAAGGAAGGAAGGAAGGAAGGAAGGAAGGAAGGAAGGAAGGAAGGAAGGAAGGGGGGAAGGAAAAGAAGGGAGAGGGAGGAAGAAAGAAGGAAGGAAGGAAGGAAGGAAAGGAAAGAAGGACCTTCAGAATATCACGCTCTTAAAAGAAAATGTAATAGATTCAGTTTAGTTTTTGTAAGAGAAATTATATTTTGGCAATTTGCACTCAAATGTCAGCAGTTGAAGTGCAATTTTAGTTGGTGATCAATTTAATTTTTAAACATTCCTGTGATGGATCTTGCAGTCTGATAAATCTGTATCTCTTTTTTTTTATATTTTTGTACTACTTCAGGACTGGGGTATAACAAAATCATTCTAACATCTTAATTTATGAGTACAGTATTGTTTAAAACGGGTTCATCATTGGTTGTTATAGCTAATGCACCTTAAATCATTTTAAAGCCATTGTAGTTATAGGCTCCAATCTGAGCAATACATTTAAGTAGATTTATAACGGGCTGCATTTCATACCTCTAAGGTTACGAATACGATACAAATAGTTAAGGTTTCAAACATTGATATCCCTAGAATTAAATTAGAAAAATGCATCTAATTTAATTCTAGAGATCATAAGGGCATTCAAAGCCCTTAGCTTTCTTTGAAAAATCATAGATACCTGTTTAAAAGCTTTTATCCTTGCTACTCCAAATTTTCACCTGTTAAATTTGTAATTTCCATCTGCCCTTTCCAAATTAAAACACTTTTAGTGTTAACAGTTCTTTCTCAGATCTTTATCCGAAACACAATTCTCATCCAACTGGTATCTTCCTTAAATAACATTTATTTAAAATGATTTAATCATAGCTTGCAATACGTTTATTTCTGAAATATCTGTACCAAGAGAATCTGGTGCTTATTTATAGAAGGAATTTTTGGTTCGACTGCCTGACACCATTCACAAATGATGTGAGCTGCTATTTGTATCATTTGCAAATACAATTTTGTGACTGCGAGGTTGTACGCAGACAAACATGCCCTTCTGGAACAATAGAGTTTCTTTTAAAAGTTATTCTATAGAACTCCAGTGATTGTACAGGCTTTTGAAAAATCAGTGTTTGTATGCACGTTAAAAACTATACTTTACTGTATGGAAATAATAAATTTCTTGCATGGTTTTCTGAGTCATTATTACACCCACTGTCATGGGGAAATCTACGGGTAAGAAATAATAAAAATGGGTCGTATTTGCAACTTGACTTTTGTATACTTTTAATTTGAAGCGTGAATATGTTTGTTAAACTTATTTTTTCTTACTGATAAGGCAATCCTCTTAGTGACCGTTCAAAGTTACAACGGCACAAAAAAGTGACATGACCGTTTTCCACATTTAACGACCGTTGCAGCATCCCAGAAGTCACGTGATCCAAATTCAGACGCTTGGCAACTGGCTCCTATTTATGACGGTTGCAGTGTCATAAGGGTCCTGTGATCCCTTTTTAGCAACTTTCTGATAGACATAGTCAATGGGGGAAGCCAGATTCAACACTGTGGATAACTTAACAACTGTAGTGATTCCCTTAAGAACCATGGCAAGAAATGTTGTAAAGTGGGGCAAAATTCACTTAAGAAATGTCTCACTTAGCAACATAAACTTTGGGCTCAGTTATGGTCATAAGTGGAAGACTACCTGTAATGTGGAAATGTTGAGTTTCTATGAAACTTTTACATCAATTTAGGAGGTGTTGCATTGTATCTACCAACAACTAAGGATCTCGTGTTTTCATTATTGATCAAAATAGAATTGAATTGGATTCTCAAAGCTGTAAAATTCACTTTTTCAATCTCTCTGGTGACTTCCTTGGCCAGATTTGACCTCTAGGTATTGTATTGGTATTGTACAGGTAGTCCTCGACTTAGCAATAAAAATTTGGAGCTCGGCTATGGTCATAAGTTGCAACTGAACTCCAAATTTCTATTGCTAACAGAGACCTGTATTAAGTGAGTTATGTCTCATTTTTGTTGCCACTATTGTTAAATGAATCACGGCAGCTGTTAAGTTACTCACACGGTTGTTAAGTGAATCTGGCTTCTTCCACTCGCTGTGCTCGTCAGATCCTGGGACACTGCAACCGTCATAAATATGAAGCGGTTGCCAAGCATTTGAATTTTGAACGTGACCCTAGGCCTCAGGGGTAGGCCACCTTGGCTCTTTTATGACTCGTGGACTTCAACTCCCAGAATTCCTGAGCCAGCCATGCTGAGGGGAAAGGGAGAGGTTTCCAAGCTGAGCCAGGCTGGCTCAGGAATTCTGGGAGTTGAAGTCCACCAGTCATAAAGCGACCTAGGCCTAGGCCAGAGGTAGGCTACCTTGGCTCTTTTATGACTCGTGGACTTCAATTCCCAGAATTCCTGAGCCAGCCATGCTGAGGGGAAAGGGAGAGGTTTCCAAGCTGAGCCATGCTAGCTCAGGAATTCTGGGAGTTGAAGTCCACGAGTCATGAGGGGGCCATAGTTCCCCCATGCTGGCTCAAGAATTCTGGGAGTTGAAGTCCACCAGTCATAAAAGGGCCAAAGTGGCCTACCCCTGCCCTAGGGGATGCCGCAACGGTTGTAAGTGTAAAAAAAGGTCATAAGCCACTTTTTTCAATCCTGCTGTTGTAATTTTGAATGGTCACTAAATGAACTGTTGTAAGTTGAGGACCACCTGTATTATATTGATTTAAATCAAGATATCATTTATCTAACCTGAACTTGAGTGGTTGATCCATACAGGTAAATTACTTGTACGGAGGTGATCCTCGTATTATAACTCAGTATGGCAGTCATAAAACGGGTCAATTTGCGGTTTCTCCTAGTTATCATCCAACATGATAATATCATTGCATTATGAGGAAGATTGATGCTGAATCCTGAAAAATTATTAAAAGTGAGCTGTAAACCTCTTCAATTTATATTAATATGCTCTTTAAAACACTCCTCACAAAAACCACAATTATTCAGTTGTGTTATCAGTGTAAGCTGCTGTGTTTTCATGCAAGATTATTTTTCATTTGTGGGGTAATTCTGAATGGTTGTTATGTATGCTGGAAAATACTTAATTAAAATATTTAATATCTAAAGGGCTGGAATTGTATCGGGTAATAAATTCAGGATGGGGAATGGCTTTGCATAGGTAGTCCTTGACTTACAACCATTTGTTTAGTGACCGTTCAAAGTTACAACAGCACTGAAAAGAGTGACTTATGACTGTTTTTCACACGACTGTTGCAGCATCCCCACAGTCATGTGATCAAAAGTGACAACTGGCTTTTATTTATGACGGTCGCGGATCCCTTTTTGTGACCTGACAAGCAAAGCCAATGGGAAAGCCAGATTCACTTAACAACCGTGTTGCTAACTTAACAACTACAGTGGTTCACTTAACAACTGTGACAAAAAAGGTCATAAAATTGGAAAAAACTAATGACAAACGTCTCACTTAGCAACAGAAATGGGCTCATTTGTAGTCGTAAGTCGAGGATTACCTGTTCTAAAAAAACTAATAGGAAGGTTTTTATCATTTTTCAAAAGTCGCAATCGGTTTTGTACACCCACAAAACCTTTTGTAACAGATATTTTTTTTCCTTTTTTTTTTTGAGGGATTTTTTAAAAAAAATTCTTTATCGTTTTTCATGCCACACCTTTCATACTGCCGAAGAGGTATAAATTATGCCAGAAACCATGTGAAAAGACAAAAGATATAGAGGATTAATTTTATAAGTTAGGAGAAAAAAATGTATTTCTGGCATGTGGTCCTACAATGAGGGGTCATGAGTCCAATTTTAATTTTTAAAAATTAAGTCTTTAATTTTAATTTGTTATTACACTTTAACCTGGGACCTAGTAAGTTGCAGGTTATATAGAAATGGTCTTTGCAATTTTTTTTCTTACTCTCTAGAGTTATTGTTTTTCTCTAATATTTACGAAAACATCTTGGTTCCATGAAAAAAACAGCTTAAAAACCCACAAGGGATGAAGAAGGTTTTCTGGCATTTGCTGCTTGGGTCCTTTTCTGATCCTGTCAATCATAGAAATCCCCACCTGTCTCTTTGCACACATCATACAAGCGAGCAGAGCAACTTGTGTGAGCAAGCAGATTTTTCTGGAACTTTTAACCTTCCTAACTTCACGATGCCCTTGTTACCAGAATTGCAGAATAACAAGAGTTGGAAGGGATCTTGGAGGTCTTCTAGTTCAAACCACGGGTCAGGCAGGAGACCCTATGCCAGGGGTGTCAAACTCGCAACATCACGTGATGTGTCGCGACGCATCGCAACTTTTTTTCCATTGCCGGCAATGGTGTGGGCGCGGTTTCGCCATGACACATCTGGCCTGTGGGCCGCCAGTTTGACACCCTGCCCTATGCCATTCTGGACAAGTGGCTGTCCAATCTCTTCTTAAAAACTTCCAGTGTTGGAGCATTCACCGCTTCTGGAGGCAGGTAGTTCCACTGGTTAATTGTTCTCACTGTCAGGAAATTGCTCCTTAGTTCCAGGTTGCTTCTCTCCTTGATCAGTTTCTATCTGTTGCTTTTTGTCCTGCCTTCAGGTGCTTTGGAGAATAGAATCATAGAATAACAGAATTGGAAGGGACCTTGGAGGTCATCTAGTCCAACCCCCTGTTCAGACAGGAAACCCTATACCATTTCAGACAAATGGTTTTTCAATTTCTTCTTTAAAACCTCCAGTGTTGGAGCATTCACCGCTTCTGGAGGCAGGTTGTTCCACTGGTTAATTGTTCTAACTGTCAGGAAGTTTCTCCTTAGTTCCAGGTTGCTTCTCTCCTTGATCAGTTTCCATCCATTGCTTCTTGTCCTGCCTTCAGGCGCTTTGGAGAATAGAATCATAGAATAACAGAATTGGAAGGGACCTTGGAGGTCATCTAGTCCAAGCTCCTCAAACGGGACCCTACACCATTCTGGATAGTCTCTTCTTAAAAAGCCTCCAGTGTTGGAGCACCCACAAGTTCAAACAGCCGCTCCCTCTGACTGATTGTTCATTGTTAGGAAATGTCTCTGTAATTCTAGACTGGATCTTTCTTTGATAATCTTCCATCCGTTACTTCTTGTTCTGCCTTCAGATCCTTTGGAGAACAGGCTGTTCTCCTCTGTGGCAGCCCCTCAATTTTGGAAGACGGTATCCTATTCCCCCCTTAGTCCTTCTCTTCCTTAGGCGAGAAAAGTCCCACTTCCTGTCACTTTCATTGTAGGGTTTAGCCTCCAAAAAGCCTGTCCCAGCTGGCTCAACTTTTACTCCAAACTAGAAATGCCCCACCCATAGCTGGTTCGGCAGCGCCCACTCCTCACCGCAGCCCCTCCAGCTTGATGCCTTTTGAGGCACCGCAGGAGAGAGGTGAAATTTAATCTGCCTGCCAACTGACACCTAGGACTATTTTGGTGATGGACAGCCAGAGAGAGGATCACGTCAGCAAGCCAACATGACTGGTGGAGACCATTCAAGGGAGGAGCTGGGTCTCAGCTAAAGCTGGGGGTCGTCACGGCGAGTCTGGGGGCTTGCTTTATGCACATCCCCAACCTCACTGGGGTTTCTGTTTTCTTATTCCCCATGAGGCTGGGAGGGGGGGGAAAAAAGAGTGCCCTGGACCCTCCTGGCCTCCTCTCCACCGTCTTCTGGATGGTAGCTGAAATTGTCAAGAATCTGTGCATCCTGTTCCAATGAAAGAGGCTTGAAACGATCCCCCAGGTAAGATCCTGTAATTTCACTCTGGACAGACCAGAGAATGGTGGCTTGTTGTGAGGAAGAGACTCCAGAGGTTTTTTTTTTCCTCCCCCCACCCATTTCCATGTTGGTTTGTGAGGCTGAAAGTAAAAAACAACAACAACAACACTTAATCAATTTTGTTTTTCAATATTGGTCTTCGGCCTCAGAATAAGAGAGTTGGGAGGGACCTTGAGGTCTTCTAGTCCAACCCCCTGCTCAGGCAGGAAACCCTATACCCATTTCAGACAAATCACAGGCCAAACCTGGAAAGCAGTTTTTTTTTTTTTCTGGGCGAGGCCAATTCAACCCAGGCAGGATTTTAAATGTTGATTTAAAAGTAGAATAACTTGGATTTTTATGGGGGTTTAAAGCAGGAAAATGCTCTTTTTGAATCGCATGGGGTGGGTATATATGGCATTGATTTTTGGGCTTGGCTTTTTCTTCCTAAATGAGGAAGCACTTTGCAAAAATTCTGCGTTCGGTGAACATCCAGATTTCAGCATGGGAGCAATTCTAACTATTAAATCTCCCCTGCTTATTCTCAGCTTGAATTTCTCCAGGGGAGCTTTGCAAAAAAGATAGAGCCCGACAGCTGAGGCTATTTTAAGAGCCATCGGTCAGTGGTCAGGCCTGGCTGGAATGGAAGGGCTGAGTCCTGTTTGCATGTTATATACAGCCCCAGGGATCAATAGGCAAAGTATAACTTTAAAAAAACAAAAACAAAAAATATTTATTTAGTAGAGCAGAGCGCTGCATTGGGTGGAATCTGCTTTGTAAGATTTGATTGCAATGGAGATTATTCCTTTGAAAGTGTCGATGCAGATGGGAATGTTATTTTTCCAAAAATATATTTGGAGGCAGTCCTCGACTTAACAAGTTTGTTTAATGACCGTTCAAAGTTAAAACGGCACTGAAAAAAGTGACTTACGACTTACGTTTTTCATCTTCCCATGATCAAAATCCAGATGTTTGGCAACTGGCATGCACTTATGACGGTTGCAGTGTCCTGGGGTCTCTCTTCTGACGAGCAAAGTCAATGGGGGAAGCCAGATTCACTTAACAACCTTGAGACTGCAGCGATTCACTGAACAACTGTGGCATGAGGTTGTAAAACGGGGCAAAATCCACTTAGTGTCTCGCTTAGGAACAGAAGTGCTGGGCTCCATTGTGGTTGTAAGTCGAGGACTACTTGTATTAGATGCAAATTTGACTTTCCTATTGGGAAGGGGCTTGGCATAGCTTCAGTTCTTTTTATGCCTTGATTACAGTTACAGCCCTGCGAGGTAGGATAGGCTACGAAAGGGGTAGGAGGTGATTCACCTAAAGTCACTGTAATTATTGGGGATTGATCTGGGTTGCCCCATATAGGCTTTGTTGAATTTAGTAGTATATAAACATGATGGTTTTAAATTTGTTGGATATAAGGAATGTTAATTTTTGCTTGTACCTTAATGATTACTTGGATATCGGTCATCCTTGATTTACAATTGTTTGTTTAGTAACCAAAGTTACAACAGCACCGAAACAACTGGTCCTTGCATTTATGACCGTTGCAGCATCCCCACGGTCATGCGATTAAAATTTGGGTGCTTGGCAACTGGCCGGTATTTATGACAGTTGCAGCATGCCAGGGTCACAAGATCCCAGCCAAAGCCAAGTCAAGGAGGGGGGAGCTGGATTCACTTAATGACCACAGGATTCACTTAATAACTGCAGTGATTCACTTAACGCAAAGTGTTTAAAAAGATTGTAAAAGCAGGGTGACTCCCTTAAGAACTGCCTTCCTTATTGGTGGAAATTCTGATCCCAATTGTGGTCGTAAATCGAGGATACCTATATGTATATTAGACTAAAAAAAGATTGGCACTAACTAGGTGAGAATTATCCCTGTACTATTAAGCCAAACATGCATCATTTTATATTGGGTATAGGTTGTCGTCCTCTTACTGCCACAACTGAGGCAAAAATTTCCATTGCTAAGCAAGGCAGTTGTTAAGTGAGTCTTACCTATTTTTGTGACTTTTTTTGCCACAGTTGTTAAGTGAAACTGCCATTGTTAAATTAGTAACATGGTTGTTAAGTGAATCGGCTTTCCCGTTGACTTTGCTGGGATCACGTGACCCTAGGACACTGCGACCGTCATAAATATGAGTCAGTTGCCAAGTGTCTGAATGTTGATCACGTGACCCCAGGGATGCCACGATGGCTGTTAAGTGTGAAAAACAGTCATAAGCCACTTTTTTCAGTGCTCTGAGCAGTCACTAAGCGAACTGTTGTAAGTCGAAGACTACCTGTGGAGCAAAACATTGCGTTGGAAGACCATTACTGTGTTGTTTTGTGTGATGTTTGTGGGGCTTCTGCATGTCAGAATGCTGTTTGACCTGTCCTCGTCGCTTATCCTGTGAGGAAAAACAATTTTATATGCTCAGAGTGCCCTCTTCTCTAAGTAGCTGGATGGTTCTGAGAAAAACTTTTTGCAAGTCAGATAATTTCATGTTTGTAGAATTCTCAAATATTTCATTTTGTTTAGCAAGGGAAAATTTGCACGATGAAAATAGAAGGATTAAAACCAGATTAATCAGAGCTTGATTAATTGATTTTAAATCAGTCCTTGATTTAGGATCACAGCTGGGACCAGATATTTCACAGCTAAGCAAGGCAGTTGTTAAATGAACCGTGCCTGTTTTTTTTTTGCCATGTTGTTAAGTGAATCATTGCAGTCGCTAAATGAATTATGTGGTTATTAAGTGAATTGGGTTACCCCCTTTGACTCTGCTTATCAGAAGCCATCATAAATTAGTTGCCAAGTGTCTGAATTTTGATCACATGACTCTGAGGATGCTGCGACCATTGTAAGTGGGAGGATCAGCCATAAATCTCCTTTTTCAGTACTGTTGCAACTTCAAATTGTCACTAAATGAATGATTGTAAGTCGAGGAGTACCGTACAGGCTATCTTTGACTTACATCAGTTTGTTTAGTGACTGAAGTTACAACAGAACTGAAAAAAGTGACTTTTTCACCCTTACAACCCTTGTAGCATCCCCATGGTCATGTGATCAAAATTCAGACACTTGCAACAACTGACTCATATTTATGATGGTTGCAGTGCCCTGAGGTCATGTGATCCCCTTTTGTGACCTTCTGATAAACAAGGTCAATGGGGGAAGCCAGATTCACTTAACAATCGTGTGGCTAACTTAACAACTGCAGGGATTCGCTTAACAACTGTGGCAAGAGAGGTTGTAAAATGGGGCAAAACTCATTTAACAAATGTCTCACTAGCAACAGAAATTTTGGGCTCAGTTTTGGTCATGAGATGAGGCGTATCTGTATTGAATGCCTAACTCTCACCCTTGTTTTTCTACCTAAAAATTATCGGAGCTGAAGAGCAACTGATTTTATGCCCTTTTTTTTGCTAAGGTTGTTAAGTGAATCACTGCAGTCGTTAAGTGAATCACATGATTAGGAAAGATCAGGGAAAGGAGCACTCACAACTGCAATGGGCAGTCAAAATTTGCAAGATGGCAGATCTGGCATTGCAAATGTCCATCGCCTTTAGTGTCCATCAACTTTCAGATTCTGATCTCTGTGGCTATTAAGCTTTTAATCCCGTGTGGCTAAATCTGACTTAAATCTGGATTCGACTCACAAAAATAAGGAAAGAATTCAAAGTACTCCAGGCCAGAGCTGCCACTGGTGGGAAGTGGGTTTGAAGTTTGCAAACAGGTGGAAACCCCATGTGGGTTGACTGGTATGCAATGCAAGGGGGGCGGGGGGGGGGGCGAAAAAGGAGGGTGGGTGTTTGGTCAGGAGGAGAAGACAGCTGGGACCAAGTCATCAGGATTTTAGGAAGCAGCACAGGGGACACTGTGGGCACAATAGCCCATTAGCAGGCTGAGGAGAGAGATTTGGATGAGGCTGAGAGGTTTTGAACATGTGCTGAGAGTAGAAAGGAGCTCTGGAGCACAATGAGGCTGGACTGGGACGACAGCCATTCTGACTTTGCTAGCTGCACCTGTGGACAGCCTTGAATGCTGGCCCTCCCTTCCTTCCTTGCTTCCTTCCCTCCCTCCCTCCCTCCTTCCTTCCTTCCTTCCTTCCTTCCTTCCTTCCTTCCTTCCTTCCCTCCCTCCCTCCCTCCCTCCCTCCCTCCCTCCCTCCTTCCTTCCTTCCTTCCTTCCTTCCTTCCCTCCCTCCCTCCCTCCCTCCCTCCCTCCTTCCTTCCTTCCTTCCTTCCTTCCTTCCTTCCTTCCCTCCCTCCCTCCCTCCCTCCCTCCCTCCCTCCTTTCTTTCTTTCTTTCTTTCTTTCTTTCTTTCTTTCTTTCTTTCTTTCTCTTTTTCTCTCCCTCTCTCCCTTTCTTTCTCTTTTTCTCCTTCTTTTCTTTCTCTATCTTTTTTTATTGAATTTTTAAAATTTTACAAAAACAAAACAACCCATCCCCAAACCTTCCCAACCCTCCCATTCCCTCCCCCAACCTTCCCAGAGCTGAACATAGGCTTAATTGAAATTTCTCAAAAAGTCTTAAAGAAAGATATAAACCATGAATAAATCTAAATATTAAATACATTAATTAAACAAATTATAAGATAATTAACAATGATATATATATATAAAAACATAAATACCAAAAGAATAATACTTGAGAGGAAAAAGAATAAAGAAAAGGAAAAAAGAAAAAGATAAAAGAAAGTATAATAAAAATAAAAATAAAAAAGAGTAAAATCTATAAGATGTTTTAAATTTTAAATATAAGTTATTGAAAAACTAAATAATATTTTTTTAATATCCAACTTACATTGTATAAAATCTATCCATTTTTTCCATACCGCAAAATACTTCTCTTGCGATTGATCCTTCAAGAAAGCCGAAATCTTTGCCATTTCCGCCAAATAAGAAACTTTAAAAAACCACTCTTGCAAAGTAGGCAAAGATTCCTTCTTCCAACATTGCCCTACTAACAACCTTGCAGCTGTAATTAA